TTCCTAATATCCAGTCTAAATGTACATTCCTTCAGCTCAAAGCCATTCCCTCGTGTCCTATCACTACATAAAATAATAAAAATAAGAATTAAAAATAATAAAATAAAATTGCAAATAATTATAATAATAATAACCAAGAGGAGCAGAGGAATCTGAGGGATAGGAGAATCTGAGGGATAGGAGAATCTGAGGGATAGGAGAATCTGAGGGATAGGAGAATCTGAGGGATAGGAGAATCTAAGGAATAGGAGAATCTAAGGAATAGAAAAATATAAGGAATAGAAAAATATAAGGAATAGAAAAATATAAAGAATAGAGGTTGGCCTTGGAAGTTGTGCAAGCTTTTGGCTCCACTCTACTAAAGATGATGGAATATAATATGTCTGATAAAACACAATCTTATAAGATCAGGAGACAAGGGAAGAGGAGAATAAATATCCTCCCAAGGAGATGATTTTAATGCCACCAGTTTAAAATCATAGAACAATTTGGGTTGGAAGGGACCTTCAAGATCATCTCATTCCAACCCCCTACCAAGGGCAGGAACACCTTCCACAGACCAGGTTGCTCCAAGTCCCGTCCAACCCGGCCTTGGACACTTCTAGGGATGGGGAAATTCACACCCTCTCTGGGTTTCTTCCCTTCCTTTTTAAACCAAAACCAAGCTGAGGTTGGTGCTGCACATCCATTTTCCACCAGCTGACGTTGAGCAGAGCTCATTCCCCACAGGAAAATCAGGAAGAGCTGGAATGTGGTACAAACAGGCGTTGGGGTGGTGTCACCACAACACTGACTTTGGGGTTCATTTTGGACGTCCTTCACCTCCCATCCCCGATGAAACCTGGCTGAGGAGCCGAGAGGACTTTGCCCAACTCATTCCTGGTGGGAACTGTCTCCTTTTCCACGTGTTGCAAGGAGGGGGAAGAGCCCCAGGAGGTGACACCCCAAAATGAGGGTGCTGAGCTTGCTTGAAGAGCTGCCAAAACACGACTTCAGCTGAATAAGCAACGTTCTGTTTTCCCCCTGGAGCTGAAAATTGACAGGGGTGGAGGTTCTTGTCTCCCAAGCTTTTTGCTGCAGCTAAAAATGCCACCCCCTGAAGCATCTGCTGTGCCTTGTTATCCAGCCAAGCCAAGCCCAAGCCCAGGAGCTTCCAGGATCTCTGTGTCCCTACAGATTTCTCCATGAGGGTGATGTCACCTGGCTCAGAACACCTGGAAGTTTTGCTGTCAAATACCTGGAGGTTTTACTGTCAAGCCAAGCCCAAGCCCAGGAGCTTCCAGGATCTCTGTGTCCCTATGGATTTCTCCAGGAGGGTGATGTCACCTGGGGCAGAACACCTGGAGGTTTTACTGTCAAGCCAAGTCAAGCCAAGCCCAAACCAAGGAGCTTCCAGGATCTCTGTGTTCCTATGGATTTCTCCATGAGGGCGATGTCACCTGGCTCAGAACACCTGGAGGTTTTACTGCCAAGCCAAGCCCAAGCCCAGGAGCTTCCAGGATCTCCATGTCCCTTTGGATTTCTCCAGGAGGGCAATGTCACCTGGCTCAGTACACCTGGAGGTTTTACTGTCAAGCCAAGCCAAGCCCAGCCAAGCCCAAACCAAGCAGCTTCCAGGATCTCCATGTCCATGTGGATTTCTCCAGGAGGGCGATGTCACCTGGCTCAGAACACCCAGAGGTTTCACTGCCAAACACCTGGAGGTTTTACTGCCAAGCCAAGCCCAAGCCCAGGAGCTTCCAGGATCTCTGTATCCCTATGGATTTCTCCAGAAGGGTGATGCCACCTGGCTCAGAACACCTGGAGTTTTCACTGCCAGACACAGCTGGTCAGGTTGGTGGAGGCACCACGAGTTGGTCCTCAACACCCTAAAGGAGATTGTGATGCTTTCCTGCCCTCCCAGGAGAGCCTGTTTGCCAAGGAATCCCAACAAAAAGTGTCTTTGCATGGAGAGATCCCCCCAAAATTTCATCACACCCCTTTGTGGACACCTAAATGACCTCTGTCCCCGGAGATGTGCTCACCCAGCTTCCTCCTCTCCTCGGGATCCTGCAGCAGGACACGGAGCGATGGTCCCTCCGGCGTGGTGACATGGAACTGCATGAAAGCCTTCTCCTGCCCTGGAAGCTCAGATTCCGAGGGCACTGTGGGAAGGAAAAGGGTGGGAGTGGGCTTAGAGAGAGATCAGGGCCACTCAGAACCCCCTGGCAGTGGGGACAAGGAAGCCACATCTGTATTCAGGTGGCCCCAATAACTTCAGCACCACCTTCCTCTTGCCCAGCCAAAGCCTGGGACAACCAAGACATCACTGATGGGCACAGGGATGAGTTATCCCAGTCAAAACTCCACCAGGATTTGGAATGAAGGGCAGGATTTGTCCTGGGCACAGCACAATATCCGGCTCTTTTGCCTCCCTCCTCCCTTTGCTCCCATCTGGAAGCAGATTGGAAATAGAGAGCCCTGGGTTTTCCCCACCTGGAGGTGGAGACCAACCAGACAATCATGGAATGGTTTGGCTTGGAAGGGACCTGGAAGATCATCCAGTTCCACCTCCTGCCATGGGCAGGGACACCTTCCACTAGCCCAGGTTGATCCAACCTGGCCTTGGACACTCCCAGGGAAGGGGCAGCCACAGCTTCGCTGGGAATTCCATTCCAGCCCCTCAACACCCTCCCAGCCAAGAATTCCTTCCCAATATCCCATCTAACCCTGCCCTCTGGCAGTGGGAAGCCATTCCCTGTATCCTGTCCCTCCATCCCTTGTCCCAAGTTCCTCTCCAGATCTTCTGGAGCCCCTTAAGGCCCTGGAAGGGGCTCTCAGGTTTCCCTGGATCCTTCTCCATGTGAACACCCCCAGCTCTCCCAGCCTGTCACACAAGAACAGGCTGATTAAAGTGTAATTAATTAATTAATTAGGGAGCTGAGCCCTCCCTGCTGTGCCAGGGAACCCTGCACAGGCAGAGAGCTCCCAGTGCAACCAAGGGGTCTTTCCATGGAGAAATGGACATGGATACAGCTCTCTCAGGCTCTCCGAGCCCCACACTGGACTCTTTAAACTCCGACTTTCTAGCCAAAGCTGTTCCTAATCCCCTCTGGCTCTCAGGGATCTCCTTCCCTGGTCACAGAGTGTGATAAGAAGCATCCCAGAAAATTCCAGGGAGCTTTGTTGGGCCAAACAGAAGATCCCAAAAGCCTGGTGAGCAGCCTGGCATCGGCATCCAGAGGGTTGGGAAGTGGCAGCTCCAGGGCTGGGAGCTCTGCCCGTGCCAGCTCTTGCCATGTCAGCATTCCCTGAGGGATTAATCTGCAGAGTAAGGAGTTTGTTGCCAGCTGGTTATGGAAGCAAAAGAGTTGTTATTGTGACAGGGAGGTCAGGGAGAGGCAGATCCCAAGAGCAGGCAAAAAAAAATTCCCCAAATCAGGTGTTTCCTGCAGATTTTTGCTTCCCTCAGTGCCTTAAATTTACCAGGACGCCAAACAGCCTCCAAATTTTTTGGGGAAAGGTTTTTCCCTGTACTTTGTACCCCGACCCAAACCCATCTCCATCATCATCATCCTCTCCTGCTTCTGCCTGTAAGCTGCTCCAGCCCCACAGGAGCCCACTCTCTCCCGTCTCCCTGATCAATCCTTCTGCAACACCCACACGGCCCAATCCGGGGAAGAGGATTTTGGGGCAGGCTCTGAAGTGGGGGAGGGTGCCAGGACAGTCTGGCAGCACCAGTTTTGGCAGCCAGGCCTCAAAAAGCCTCCTCAGCCACCCACCAGGAGATGGGGTGGCACCAAAGGTCACCGTGCCCATCTGCTGCCCACCCCCGGATCTTCTGCTGGACCCAAAATTGCTTCCAGGGCGTCGGCGATGGCACAGATGGAGATGATGAAGCACATCCCGCATCCCAACTCCCTGTGATTCCATGGAGACACACCAGCCCAGCACCCCACCCTCCCTGAGGCTCCCGGGACATCCAGCCACAAGCTTGGGAACTGAATTCCCTAGCATCACTCCTGGCACCAGCCACGAGCTGAGCAGTGCAGGTGCCAACAGGCCCAAAAAGAGCTCCCCAAAAGTGATGCCTGAGGAGCAATGGGTGGTTCTGCTGGGAGAGAATTCCATGGCCAAGCTCCCATGAACTTCAGGGCAGCAGGGATTCTGTCCATCTATCACCTTCAAAGTGTGCAAGCTCTGATCATTCATCTCTGGTGCCAACCCTGCTTCTCCTGGCACCATGGGAAATTCAAGATATTTTGGGGGTTATTTTTAATTTTAGGAGCCTCCAACATGAGATGCCTCAAAGGATGGTGGGCTGAGGACACTGGTGTGGTCAGCAGGCAGGTTTAGCCTCTATTTAGCCCCCCCAGCCCTAAAGAGAACAGCAGGTGACAACCCTACAGCAGGTGACAACCCTACAGCACATTTTTGCTCCTTTTTTTAGGAGGACTTTTCCTTGTGGAAACCAGAAATGGGGAGGAAATCTGCCCTGGGCAGGAATCGCTGAGTGGATGAAGAAGACCCACAGCTCAGACCATCCCAAAACCTCCACGATTTGGATCCATCTCCTCAAAGCATCCAAAAAACTCCAGGATTTGGATCCATCTACTCAGAGCATCCAAAAAACTCCAGGATTTGGATCCATCTAACTCAGAGCATCCCAAAACCTCCAGGATTTGGATCCATCTACTCGGAGCATCCCAAAACCTCCAGGATTTGGATCCATCTCCTCAGAGCATCCCAAAACCTCCAGGATTTAGATCCATCTCCTCAGAGCATCCCAAAACCTCCAGGATTCGGATCCATCTCCTCAGAGCATCCCAAAACCTCCAGGATTTGGATCCATCTACCTGTTCATGCCTCCCTTCTTTGAAAATCCCCCCTAGAATTCCAAGCTGAGCAGGAAGCTCCTTCCAAGGTGGGAACTCACCGGGGCAGTCGCAGAGGGCGATGGCAGCGAAGTAGTGGGAGAGGGCTTTGAAATGCTCCGACTTGACGTGGACCATGGTGGTCCAGGAGAAGGGAACATAGTCCTTCACATGGGGCTGGGTCATGGTCTGGTGCACCAGCGAGTAGACGTCCTCCACCTGGGAGGAGGGAGGAGACAAGAGATGGAGAACATCCATCAGGAGCGGGTTGTCCTCTCCTGGAGGGTTCTGCTGACCACAGTGACATCCCACCAAGTGCAGTGGTGTGAGGTTCAACAAGGCCAAGTGCCGGGTCCTGCACTTTGGCCACAACAACCCCCGGCAGCTCCACAGGCTGGGACAGAGTGGCTCGAGAGAGAGAGGGACCTGGGAGTGCTGGTGCCAGCAGCGGGACACGAGCCCAGGGGTGCCCAGGGGGCCAAAAAAGCCAATGGATCCTGGCCTGGATCAGGAAGAGTGTGGCAGCAGGAGCAGGGAAGGGATTCTGCCCCTGGACTCAGCACTGGTGAGGCCACACCTGGAGTGCTGTGTCCAACTCTGGGCCCTCAGTTCAGGAAGGACATGGAGGGGCTGGAGGAGGTGCAGAGAAAAGCAACGAGGCTGGGGAAGGGTCTGGAGCACAATTGCCATGAGGAGAGGCTGAGGGAGCTGGGGAGGTTCAGCCTGGAGAGGAGGAGGCTCAGGGGAGACCTCCTCACTCTCTGCAACTCCCTGAC